TTTAGCACATGGTCTTGGCATTAATAATCCATCATGAAATGATTTGCAATGCACAGGGGTGACATTTGATTATGTGAAAGGCATTACAAGAATGAACACGTAGACTCTTATAGGCCAACTGCTGGCAAAAACATGAAATGCTACATGGTGAAAATAGCATTTAGGATGGTTTCTAAACTAACAAAGAAAAGTGTAAGGACTTTGCTTGTAGAGAAATTTTCTTTCTTTTTTCCTTCTGTTCTTCCTTTGTCAAAACATATTTTGAAGGGTCAAATAGGTTAAGGGGACAGATTTGTCAACCAACCATCCAAACACATTTTCAAAACATATTTGATTCAGGAAATTCTGGCTCTTTTTAAGCAAGGATGTTAACAATTCTCCTGAGAATCTTAAAATATGATGATTTAAACATAAGGAAAAGGAGACCCTGAAATTATCAGAGAAGTCACCAGGAGGCCTCCCTGCTGAGGAATTCGGTTTTTTCATTTTGTTTTCTAATTTTTGGAAGGCTACAAGAAGGATGTTGGATCTACTACCTAAGGGAAATCCTATCATTTTTGGTTCAAAATTTATGAGCTGATGGAGAAATTCATAATTCTCAGGGTAGCAAAAACAAAAAGAACACGAGAATTTCTTAGACTCACATACTCTAGATCAATTCACTGATCTGCCAAATGCCTTATTTTCTAGATAGATTATAATAAGTGTACTTTTTAACTATGACCAAATGTATGCATACCAGGGTGTGAGTATGCCAGAGTTGGTAGCTCATGGTCACAAGAATTGAGGGCAGGGGGAGTTACTATGCACAGTTAAATCCAGAGAGAATTAGAGAGGATGAATTCTGTAATACTTTAATCACAGACATGAACAAAATAATATCAGCTGATTTCAGTGCTAGTGACTTTTCCTTCCTAGTCCACTACCATGCAGAGTTAGGTAAAAAAAAAATCTATTGATTATATTCAACACTGACAAATGTTAACTTTATTTATTCTTGGAATTTGTTATTCACTTGGGTATTGATTCAACAAAATTTATTAAGTACTTACTATATGAAAAACAGTGCTTGAAGTCATGAAGGTCATAAGGATATGAACCATGCTTATAAGCACTTCTAGAGAAACAGAAAACTGCTTTGGGAATCAGAGGAGGTAAAAATTTTATCAGGGAGATTCAAAGAATATCATGAAGTATATGGCACTTGGTGTGAAGTTTTGGAAGAGTATGGGGTTCATCAGAAGAGGTGAAGGAATGGGTGAGGAACAGTGTCAGAAGAGGCCCTCCAGGAAATAAAGCTGGAGGAACAGCAAGGCCAGTTGTCAAGGCTATTGCCAGAATAAGGCATTTAGACTTTGATAAGATGATAACACTGAGACAGGCATGGTGGTCTGTAACCACAGCTACTCAGGAGGTGGAAACAAAAGGCTCTCAAGTTGGAGGCCAGCCCTTGAGAAGTTAGCAGGACTCCATCTGAAAAGGGCAACAGATAAGAGAAGGAAATAGAGCGTTTTAAAATCCCCCACCTCCTTTTTAAAAAAACTTTTGAAATAATTTTATACTTACAGAGCAGTTGCAAAGATAATAGTTTTTTGCTACCCAGAAAGCTATCCATATAAGTTTTCATGTTTTTAATATAGTGATTTATGTAGAATTCTTACATTATACTCCTATCATTGCATTGTCTATCTCATACTTAGTGCAACTTGTGTTTTCCTTAATTAGAAATGCCAAAGATGTGTACTTATTTATCTTGTCAAAGACACAAAAGACACAAGTTTTGTTTTTGTTGACCACATTTGCTAGTTTTTAATCCCATTTTATCAGTTGCCACAAAGTTCCCTTAAAGCTACCTATGCATTCAGTGTAATTTAAAAAACAGATTGGTATATAAATGCAGTATCAGAAAAACTCTTTGAGGGACTAGTGAAATGTGAGGCCCCAGTACCACCTGAAAGATAGAGATAGTAAAGAGAGAGACAGAGAGAGACAGAGAGATATTTTGATTCATCTTTTAATGCTCCTGCCCTAAATTCTATACAGTCACAGAGCTAGCTATGTGATTATTTTTTCTTTTTGGCAGTGCTAGGGTTTTGAACTTAGGGCCTTGCACTTGCTAGGCAAGCAGTCTGCCACTTGAGCCACGCCTCCAGTTCTTTCTATTTTAGGTTTTTGTTCTGTTTTAAGGTAAGGTCTCTCTTTTTGCCCTGACCAGCCTAGATCTGCAATCCCCCAACCTATGCTTTCTGCACAGTTGGGATTATAGACATGTTCCACCATTTCTGGCTTATTTGTTGACATGGGGCTTCACTAACTTTTTTTTGGTCTGGCCTTGAACCACAATCCCTCCCAAGTAACTGGGATTATAGGCACAAGGCACCACACCCACCTGGAATTTTACATTCTGGAATTTTACATTCTGAGAGCAGCTCATTTTGTTGATTCTAGTCCATCTCTTCTGCCTATTTGAGAATTATTTAATATTGGTGCTCAGTCTTAGCTGTCCTTCCTATCTTTAATTATGGCTTAGATTTCTGGAAGCTGCTAGTGACAATTATACTGGATCATGCTTTCCATTCATCTCCCCAGTGGACAAGAGATAAAACAGTCCTGTTCTTTCAAGCAGAGTTTATCATAAAAGAGGGGGGAACTGTCTAAATCCTTACTGAAGGATACTGTCTCTGTTTTAAACCCCTGTGTACTCTCTGACCTTCTGTAATCTGACCCACATCCCATTCTCTACACTGAAATGACTCTTCTGAAGGTTATTAGGACCTTACACTCATCGCAGTCCAAGCGCACATCTCATGACTTTCTGTACCGTGGCTGGGCCCTTTCCTCTGCATTCTCAGTATCACAAGTCTTGGTTTCCATACATTCCCTCTTCAGACTATTTGTCTCTTTCTGGTCAAACTTCAGCCTTTTTAGAGAAATGATTTTTTCTTTTATTTTCTCCCAAACAATTCCTAAGATCACATCTTGATTACCTTTTCACATCACAAATTCTCACTTGATGGTGATACCTGTGGCCGTGGCCACAATTCAGAAATGTAGAAACACGATTCATATTTCTCTTGAATTTCAGGTCCTATATTTTTTAGCTGACTGCACTTCTTGGCCTGGGAGCTTCTGCGTACTCTGCACTGACTGTGTTCTCATCTTCTCATCTTCCACAACACTTGATCCTCTTTCCCCTATGTTCCTGGACCAGTGGTTAAAGCCAAAGGTTGAGGTCTCATCCTAAGTCCTGTCCTCCTGCAATCTTTCACCTTCTCCTCCTGACTGCACTATGTTTGCAGCTTGCCTCCATGGCTACTCATTGCTTACTTCCTGCCTCTTGGTTTTTAGCTTTCTTTAGATCTAAAGCATCTTCATGCACCCACCAGAGCGATCTTTCTGAGACATATTCAGGGGTTCTGATTTTATGTAACATAAGGTGTGATGGTCCCTTATGGTTTGATACGTTGGCCTAACTGTCCTTTCTCATGGGTCCTTGCCACCCAGACTGACACAGTCCCCCAATTCTGAAAGTGCTTGTGGTTTCCTCTTGGTACATGCGTCTGCACATACCATTCCCTATGCAGAGAGTGTCGTCTTCCTTTTTCTGACTGGCCAAGATGCCCTCAAATACATGTTTCAGCTTGCATGTACATTCCCAAGAACCTCTGACTTCTCCTAGACAGGATGGGTTTGTGAGTCTATTTATCAAATTATACCCTTCCCTCACTCCAGAAAGGATTTGAGACAAACACACACCAGTTAATAGGATAAAATAAATGAATGAGACAATGAATTCAAAGGGAAAGTAAAGGTAGAAATAAAAATAATATCAGGTATGATGTTAGCCTTAAAAATGATATGACATTAAGTTCTGAAGACTTACAAAGGGATACACTGAAAATTTGCTTCTGGGCTTCCTATTTGTCAAAGCTAAGAAAGAAACTGGATGGCATATGAATTTCACAGTGTCCATAGCTATAAGAAAGCATCTATACCAGTTACTGAAAATTGAGAGATGGTTTACTGCACTAAAGAGGTACTTATAAAGGGGACTGGTAAATTTAGAATTCCTTTCCTTATGCTTTCATTAATCCTTAAATAAAGCTCTGTAATTATCATAACATTTTTTGTACATTGGTAGCCTCAGGGCATGGACCACATCCTCAGCCCACTGCTTCTCATTTCTCAGTTACTCAGTGGGTATTTGCTATACACACTGGATAGTCAGATGTTGTGGTAATGTAGGCAAATGATTTTGTGTGGGTAAGTATACAATTAGAAATTTATCATCATTCCCATCACCTCATAAACTGGAAGTCTTTATACTTACTATAAAAATGATTCTTGGAACACCTACAATGTACCAGATATCATACTAAACACAGTACATATATATTTTACATGACCTTAACTAATCCTGTAAATATTATTCTCCATCTCAAAGTTGGAGAAAATAGGAGATTAAAAAAGTATCCCAAGGATATACAGTAGACAGAGGCAGAAGTTGGCGAAGCACAGGTGATTGACCTCAGTCCTCAACCCTCAGCTGTTGATTCAATGCTTCAGTGTGTAGAATATTAATTATGTTAATATTTAATTACATAATTCATGAAAGTTGAGACTTTCACGTGATGGGAAGGTCCTGGTGGAAGACTTTTGCCATTCTTTTCTAATTCCGTAAGCTCTATCCCAGAATTTTTTTTGAAGGAAAAGGCATCTTTATTGAAGGAAAAGGCACCAGCTATAATGGCAAATAATACATTGTGCTATCAAATTCATTTTTCAAAAAGAAATACCAGGGCACATACTAATATAAAACACTTCTATTTTTTTAAAAAAAAAGCATTGGAACATTTGACTGATTTCCACTACACACGGTAGGATATGGCACAACTTTGTTTACTATGTTCAAAAAACTTACAACTTTAACATTTTACAAAAGGATTTATTCTATTTTAATCCAGGTAGCTTCCACCCACAAATTGATGTCTGCTTCTTACCTGGAAGTTGCCAAAGCAGCTCCCTCCTGGGAGAGTCACATAACTCACAAAGGGAGGCCCAGAAGACGGCAGAGACTCATAGACTACCACACCTTCACTTGGGAGTGTGGCCTTTTGCTGCTGCTTGCTTTCCCAAAATTCCTGTAACATTGACACAACATTCACTGAAAAAGACAAGAAATATCGTCAGTTATTAAGGATGGACATACCCTAAAAAAAAACCATTTTATTTCAGGTTTAGATGGTAGTTCCAGTTTAAGTTAAGTAAGTGTATGGTGGGGGCTATTTTCAGCTCTGAATATACTTTCTTTAAAAATGTTTAAGATATGTCAAAATGTGTAATTTTGACAAACATGGATTTTTTTAATGTGTTAAGACTCATGTAGTTTATACCCTAATTCTAGCAATGTTGCACAAAAAATATCAAATTTTCTTTATGAATTAATATTAATATCAAAATTTAAAATCTCATTCCTCCATCTTTGAAAATTTTCCAGAGCTGCAATAATCTGTGGCCCTATCTGCCATTTCTCTTACTCTCAAACTTGCAAAGTGAAAGCCAAATTGTTAAGTAAATATGTAGGTGATATAATTTTAATCTGGACTCACCAGTTAGAAGATGTAAGAGGAGAAATTCAGAAAGAAGAAAACTCCCTTTAATCTAAAGGAGAATGAAAGGCTATTGTGGAATAAGCAAGAAGCTGAAAAGAGAATGAAACTAATAACATGGAGATCTTTTTAAGGACAAATTCTGTCAGAGGACTTCAGAAAACATAGTAGTGGTGAGGGCCATGTGTTTTAGATTAAATAACCTGTGATAGCCTGCAGAAGTTCCAGATCAAGTTAGGCTGGTTTGTTTATCCTGTACTGCAAATTGAATTGGGGAAATTAACAAGGATAATAGAAATGTAGAGTCAAAAGTGACCTTATGAGTCATGTAGGCAAAGCTCTTCTAATGCAGGAATTCCCTGCCAGCATTCCTGACAGCTGCCCATCTGGCCTGTACCTGAACATGTGCAAGTACCATGACCTGGTACTTGCCATGTCTGGGGCAGCCTATTTCAACTACTAATGGTTCTGTGGAAAGGTGAGTTGAAATCTGTTTTCCTGTAAGGCTCATGCAGGGGTGACTTCTCATTTCTGGAGCCTCATGTTAGTTTATCTCCTTACCCACACAAGAGGCCACTACACATTTGAAGGCAGTGTTGCATACCTGTTGTTTTGTTAGTCTGGCATTTGTTCTGTTTGCAGACAGAACAAAGGTTTTCCTTGAAGAAGCACACAGTCCCCAGGGGTGGAGCTGGGGATTTGGCCAAAGCCAAGCCATTTAGAGGCAGTGAGTCCAGGAATTTTGTTGGATATTTCTTTTCTTTCTTTTTTTTTTTTTTTCACTATGGTTGCTGGAGGAATAGGAGGTAAGTGTGACACTGGCCAATCAAGACACTGGCTGGCTTAAGAAGAAAGGCAACCCAGAGAAGGATAGAGCCAAGAGTTTGAGAAAGACTAAGTGTTGATGACATAGCTTGAGCTCCTTGTTCCAACTTTGACCAAATCCAGGATCCTTGATTGAGCCTGAATTTTCTATATCAACATATCTGCTTTTCTCTTGAGCCATATTGAACTTGCATCAATTACTTGCATTGGTATAAAAATATACCAATTAGGGACTGTAGTTTAGTTTAGTGGTCCACTGAGCTAAACCCACTTAGCTAGGCCCACAGAGCACTGGCCTAGCACCTGTGAGATCCTGAGTTTGATCCCCAGCAATACAAAAACAAAACAAAAAACTCAATACAGACAACACTCATGTTTTATCAAGTCTACATTAAAGAGTTTCTGTTTCTTCAAACTTTCTTTGTGTAAGATGGATGTGCTTCACAATGCTGGGCATTAATATGTTCCTAGGAGTCGGGAATGTCACAAAGTTTGGTCTGGATGCAAAAACATTGCACAGAAGCACTGGACTTCTGTGTCCCTCCTGAGGTCACCAGTCAACTTCACTGTGGGTTGTTCAGGCAAGTTCTAGAGACTTCTAAGGAATTGGATGCCTTTGTATGTTAAAAAAAAAAATCTATGTTTAGCATTTAATAAGCGTTCTGGGAAATAAATTGAGAAAATGTAAGACATCAGAGGGAATAATTGTGTTAATAAGATGTATATATGTATATATGGAGAGAGTAAAGTTGAGAATTGGTCATTTTAAATTCCTTTACAAAAGTTAAACCAGGAGCAGGGAGTCAGTGGCTCATGCCTGTAACCCTAGCTACTCAGTAGGCAGAGATCACAAGAATCACACTTCAAGCCAGCCTACGCGAATAGTTCATGAGATTCTTCTTGAAAGTACCCAACACAAAACAGGACTGATGGAGTGCCTCATGCCTACCAAGCATGAGACCTTGAGTTCAAACCCCAGTGCCACCAGAAAACTCTCCCCAGAGCCCCAGTATTTTCTATTTGTGTTGATGTAACTCAAAATAGAGTTAGAATTTTTATACTCTAAACTATTTCTGTTCCACACCCTCTTCTCCTTTACATTTCTGAGAAAATAAGGATTTACAAACTGGCTAATTTGTTTCTCTGCTTGCAATTGACCTTCAGAATTCAGCCAAGGTGCCTGAAGATTGAACCCTAAAACTAAAGCTGCTCTGTTAGTCAATAAGGACCATTAGCTTCCTATTGACTATTAGTTCACTATTGACTGAGATTAGGCTAAGCACTGGAAGAGGAAGCTTAGGACTCATTACCATGTAGGATAAATGAACACAAGAATTTTGGCACAAAAATCTATTTTGGATTAAAGAATTTGAAGGGATGCACTAAGTAAGATTTCTGCATGAATAAAAGCAACTGTTTTAAAATTTTTCATTCTGCAACCTTAGAAGATTTCTTTGATGGTACTATAGATATCATCATCTCTAAAGAGTGCAACGTATGTACATGCACACACATAATTCATCTTTTTATCTCTGTCTCCTCTTGTCGGCTACAAAACCAGATGAATGGGGTGCAGAGAGAAGGTGGCCAGCTTACTGTTTAGAATTCCAAAAATCAGTATATCAATATTTATGGAACATATGCTTCTTTACTTTATTTTGAGGTAGCACTGGCAAGGTTTATGGATGATTTTAGAGAAAATACAAGCAGCAGGTCAATACTATTGGAGAAAACCACCTAAGTTTAAGGATAGGCTTCTTTGCAGTTCAGCCTCTAGATGTCCCCAGCCCAGATCTAGCCTTCTGTGCTACAGAATAAACTTGAGCTACTACATGTGCTATATCTGTTCCTCCATCTAGGGATTCAGCTGCACAAGGGCCCAGCTGCATTTTATTTTCTATAGTTTCAAATGAATTGTGCTGCTGCTTATCCTGGGCATTGTGTTCAAGTCACTCCAGTGACCTAGTTTTAAGTGCTTCTTCTTTGCTTACTCCATCCAGGATGCCATAAGTATGCTCAAGAAAATGAATGAACAAATAGATGAATTATTCAATTAAATGACACATTCAACCTTGGAACTATTTCTTACTGCTGGCTATTAAAATTTTCCCATGATAGCCAGCCTACTAGAAAAAGTATTCTATATTGACTATCTCTGCTTCCTTTACTTACACTCATTTTTAACTCACCATAATCCCACTTCCCTCTACATTATTCAACTGAAACTACTTGGACAAATATTGCCAATTTCTAGTTTTTCAGCACTTACTTACTATACCTTTTAGCTTTATTTGATACAGCTATCAATTTTTTCTTGAAACTCTCAGAGGAAGATTACTGAAATATTTCTGACAATATGGTTCTTCTTTCTAATCATTTTTCCTAGTTCTTTTTTGTGAGCTTCTCTTCCTCTGCTCATTCCTCATGTTGGTTTCCAGGAGAATCTTGCCGTGTTTTTTCTTGTTTCTCTCTCTACTATTCTCTTTTAATGACAGAACCTATCTCCCTGACACCATGTACTGTAATATTCAATGAAAGCTCCCAAACTGCTGTACTGTAACTCGAACTTTGTTAATAGACACTTGCATTTGGATGATGTACCAAGTCAAAATATTTCCAAACTCAACTTATTTCCTTTTCTATTATCTCTTCTCTTCCACCTAAAATACTTTCCTTCCTTCCGAATTTCTTGGAAAGTAATGTTATCATTTACATAGTCACCTAAATCAGAAACTTGGTAGGAAACTTAAACTGCATTTGTTCTTTCTATATGCAATAAATACCCAGAGCGGGGCATTGGTGGCTCACGCCTATAATCCTAGCTGTGCCAGAGGTAGAGATCAGAAGGATTGCGGTTTGAAGCCAGCCTGGGTAAATAGTTTGTGAGACCCTATTTTGGGGAAAAAAAAAACTGTCAAAGAAAAGTGCTGGTACAGTGGCTCAAGGTATAGGCCCTGAGTTCAAACACCAGTACCCTTCCCCCCAAAAAAAAAAATGCCCAGGTTTTGTCAATGCCATATCCTTGATGTCTACCACAAGTACCACTGCCTCTTGGTCCATACTACCATTCCTGCATTGGCTTATACTTGTCATATCTCAACAGGCATTCTAAAGGACCGTCCTGACTCTAATCATTTGCCCATCCAATCCATCCTCCCACTGTTTCTAGGATAACATTTCTTTTTTTTTTTTTTTTTTGGTACTGAAGGGGGAAAATACTACTTTTTTTTAAAATTTTATTATTCATATGTGCATACAAGGCTTGGGTCATTTCTCCCCCGCCCCCACCCCCTCCCTTACTACCCACTCCACCCCCTCCCTCTCCCCCCTACTCCCTCAATACCCAGGAGAAACTATTTTGCCCTTATTTCTAATTTTGTTGTAGAGAGAGTATAAGCCATAATAGGAAGGAACAAGGGTTTTTTGCTGGTTGAGATAAGGATAGCTAGGATAACATTTCTAAATCTTATAGCTCACCAAATCTTCCACATCTTAAAATCATTTTGTTGATTCTTCATTATGCATGGAATAAACAACTCCTTGTAAGGTATAAAAGACTTTTATGTTTTGCTATTCTCATACTGAGCTTCTCTCCCCAAGTTTACCCTCCAAACTCCTTGTGCTCTCATGTTTCCAATAGTGCTAGCAAGCCCTGACTTCCATTCATTCTTCTGCAGTGCCTTTCTTTCCATTGCCTAACGCCCTCTTAAATGGCACCTACTCATTTTTC